ATGCGTCAACCTATCGTCAAGTTCCATATGTTTTATATTTTCTTTAGTTTCTGGGTATGTTTGCCCTCAATTATGGTGTGGAATTTTGGTTCATAGAAGGCTCAAGTTTGGCAGTTATCCTTGATTATTGGGAGTCCAGATGTTGAGGCAGCGTTGTTCACCTTTTCTGATTTTTGGCAGCATTTATGGATCACCTTGGAAGTTTCTCGAGCTATTGCAAATTGGTGGAATTTGTTCGGTTACAATCAAGGTGTGGGATCTTGTATCGATCGTTCATGAGGATGTTTCCGTTAACAATTAAGGTTTAACATTTCGTTAAATATGTTAGTACTTCACCCTTTGGGTAAGGTTGTGAGGAAGAATGAATGCAATAGATCTAGAGATGGTTATGTGCTTCCCTTTGGGGATGTATATTGTGGTAGCTCATCAAATATGGTCATGAGGAGGTGTATATAGACTGAGTATGATAGCATGAGAACACCTGGTCTGAATTCATTGGTACGGTTCTTAATTGGTTTGTAGCCCTTGAGTTGGAGCAAGAGTACAACCGCCTATCTCATTCGTTGGTTGGATGCGTCCATGTTTTCATCTGATTTTGCATTGGTAGCAGCCTATGATCTGCAAGGAATTGTGTATGATAAAAGGGTAGGTGTTGGGAATAAATCCGAGATGACGAATGCGGAATATCAAGAACAATCAAGAATCAATCACCATAATATGCAAGTAATCTGATAAAGGTTTTTCGTATATTGATTATGATATGAACGTACAGAGAAAAACCCTACTCTGGTAAAAGCTCTTTTCAAAATCTAACCTAATGATTATTTATAGGGAACAATAAAGATATTCCATAAATATAAAACTAACGCCTGAATATAAAACCAATGTCTTAGAAGAGCTCGATTAAGAACTTCTACTGTAAAGGCATCGTAGGGAATTATAAAACGATTAACCCTAAAAAGGCTTCCCTAAATAACCAAATATGCCAAATCAGTTTCAATATCCCAAATACTCAACAGTAGGGCTTAGGTTGTGTTTGGTTAGTATCGAAAGGAATGTTGAATGGGTTTTCTGCAAGACAGTGGGTTGATGGTTAAGTATATTTAAACTTTTGGGGCGGTATTTGCGATAAGAATGTTTTGAATATCCTTTCAGCACGTTTTGGTGGTGTTCCCAGTCAGGGACTAGGGGTAGGTTCGATGAATGGATGCTCATCAGTCTTAGGGTAAGGTTTCTAAGAATAGACTGATGGGTTCTCGGTTTCAGGAAGTATAGTGACAAGGATGGTTTAAGGTTGTAGTACTGAGAGTTTCCGGTTTATGTGGTTTTTTCTGGAAGATGGGTCATACAGTTATGGAGAGAAAGAAATTGTTGTGTTTGAGCATTTTCAAGTTATTAGGGTTTCTTGTTGGCAGTTGGGGGTTTCCGAGTGATCTCTCAAGTTTTATTTATAAGATGCCTTGATTTTGAAATGGTTAGATGGAGTTCATGGAATATGTTGGTGTTGCTTTAGGAATAGTAACCGAGATGGATTTCGAGGACAAAATCTAATTTAAGTGGGGGAGAATTGTAACATCTTGTTTCCTGCCATTTGTGGGTCGTGGGTTGGAAGTCGATTGTGTAAGGCTTTTGGCATTAAGTAGAAAAAAGTTTAGTCTTTGTGGAAGGAGGTAATGTTGGTTAAGAGATTTAACCCTTGAATTGTGTTTTAGGCCGCAGGGTAGAAAGGGAAAAGTCATAGGCCAGGTTCTCGCATGAAATATGGATTTTTGTTCGAGAATTTTTTAGTGAAAGATATTTAGATAATATTGTAGAGCTCTTCAATACTTTTTCATAGATATAAAGAACGTCGAAAACGGAGTTGGAACGAAGAAGTTACGACCGTTTGAAGTTAAGACGATTTTTGGGTCAACCGCGTACGTTGGACGTATGCGATCAGTGCCCAAACCCTATTTTCGTGGTTTAAGCCCTATTTAAGCTCCTTAACTCCCCCAAACCCATTCCATTTTCAACCTCCACCTTTCCAACACCCTCTCTTGAAACCTTAACCCTAGATTGAGCATTGTGAGCAAAAGAAGGTGTTTTTAAGTGCTTTGGAGTGTTCTTGGTGCACCTTGAAGAAGAAGGAACTCATTGAAGAAGTGTTACTTGCATTGGAGCTTGTAGATCCAGACTTTGTTCACCTTGATATTTCTTCTAGAGCTATAAAGTTTGAATCTTGATGATGAAATTGTTAGATCTAGGTAGTTTTGAGTGTTATGAGCTTTTGGTCACTTTAAGTGCATAAAGTTCAAATCTTGAAAGTTTGTGACCTTGTTATGGATAAAGTTGGAAACTTTATCCATCTAAACATCATTGTGATTAAGATCTGAAGGTTGGAGACTTGGACTTAATGGATTAAGTTGAAAAAGATGCACTTTTGGGTCCCTTTGAGACTTAAAGACTAGATCTTGTTTGTTGGGACCATTCTAATGGATAAAAGTTGGAAACTGTATCCATTATGGAGCTATTATGACCAATAAAAATGTGATATTGGCCTTTCTATCCCTTCCATGCAAGAGTTGTAATGTCTTGTTAGGTTAAGAACTTAGGGTTTTGGACATTAAGCACTTTATAGCCATGCAAAGTCATAAAGTTGGAAACTTTATGACTTAGGACATCATTTTGGGCTTGGATTTGAGTTTTGGATGTAAGAGCTTAATGAAATAAGCTCTTAATGGAGTTTTGGGACTGGGCTGCGTACGCTGGGCGTACCTGGTGATACGCTGTGCGTACGCGGTCAGCGCCCCGTTTTTGGCCAACATCAGAGTACGCTGGGCATACTCTCTTGGTACGCAGGGCGTACTCTGCTGGGAAGAAATATTGACTTTTGGACCATGACCTTGACTTTGACTTTGACCAGGGTTGACCAAGTTTGACCAAAGGGCATTTTAGGTAATTTTATTTATAGTTTTGAGATATAGGCTCCTATTAATTGTATAGGTGACCGGTAGATATAGCTTTTAGAGCAGTGATCGGTGCAGCTATTCTTTCAGACTGTGAGGTGAGTTTCCTTCACGATATACGTGGGTCGAAGGCACCAATGTCGGCCCACTAGTTTATGTTGTAGTGTGATGGTTGACTTCGTGACAACTATCAGTTATGCTTATGTTTGCTTGATGTCTCTATGATTCTTGTTATTATATTATGTGGTAGTAGTATGGGATGAAATAGACCCGATATCTGGTTGAAATAGACCGAAGGAGATTGCAAGCACCAAAATATGCTTGATAGTATCCGGTTGAAATAGACCGAAGGGGTAGGCAAGCACCCAGATATGGTTGATAGTATCCGGTTGAAATAGACCAAAGGGGTAGACAAGCACCTAGATATGCTTGATAGTATCTGGTTGACATAGACCGAAGGGGTAGGCAAGCACCCATATATGATTGACAGTATGTTTGTTTAGTATGTGGTATTTTGGGGAAATCACTAAGTTTTGTACTTACGGTTTTAATTTTTAGTTCAGGTACTTCTGGTTCGAAGAGGAAGAGCCCGGGATGATTGCAGTGCACACACCACATCGCTCCGCATTTTATATTACTCTGATATTTTTGGATGTTAATGATACACTTTGATTCACTATGGTTTTGATGATGTTGTCTTGTATAATAATTTTATTAATTTAAAAGTCGAAATTTTTAGTCTTAATTTTTGGGACGTTACATGATCGATAACATGTATATGATCTAATTTACATTAACGATTCAACCACAACATACGACGACTCTATTAAAAGACTACTAAAGCCAATATATATATATATATATATATATATATATATATATATATATATATATATATATATATATATATATATATATATATATATATATATATATATATTAGAGTTAATATATAACAAACTTATAAATTAAAAGCTCTAACCTAATAACATGTTTCAAAAAGTTTTCAAAAGACCTTAAACCAATACAAAACTTATATAAAAAAATTAATATATAACAAACTTACAAATTAAAAACTCTAAGCTAATAACATGTCTCGAAAAATGATCAATAGACCAAAACCAACACAAAACCTTTAAACTTGTTTTCTTTGTGTATTTTGTATATGATTTGTATATATGTCTACTTAAAAGATTGACATTTATATTGTAAACTTTTAATTAATTTCTTATTAAACATAATATATAAGTTATAAAATCTAAATGGTTAAATCATATAATTAAGAAGACTTTTGAGTAGTGTTAGTTAAAAGATAGAGTTTCAAATTAATATAATTTATGATGGCAATTAAAAATAATTGGAATTTCAAATATATAAGGAATTTCAAATATATAAGATTAAAGTATTTTAACATTTATATTAGTTAGTGGTATACCAATTCAGAAGCTTTTGGTTGCGGCTGTGTATACTTTTGGTCATGAATGTGACATTTTATTATATTGATACTACAAGTGTACAAAGAAAATGTTAATATTATAGTAAGAAATAAATTATTATAAAAGGTTAATGGTATAAATAATTAATTAATTATTCAAAATATTAATAAAAATAAAAGAATATTTTAAAAAGATTAACAACTATGACATTTTATTCATAAGATACTCTTATTACAATGATATTTTATAAGTGAACAATCTAAAAGTATAACTAATGATACTATTTTTTAACAAATAATAAGATTATTTATCACAACACTTCGTATCTAAGATCAAGATGGGGTCCAAGGTACAACATACCCCGTGCGACAAAAAAAATTGTTTTGATAGAGAAATCTAAAATAAAAATTATTATATTATTTTTGTTATTATATTTTTATTTTTGTAATTATTAAATATAATTTCTTTTCTGTTTTCTGTAGAGGAAGGAATATTCAATTCGGCTTTTGCTATCAATTATTTGATTTGCCGTTAAATTCCTAACGCCGTTAGCCACTAAGTCTTCTACCAACTTCACGTCCACCTAACCCCTGCCGTCAACACTGTATAAAAACCGCATTTCACCCAACACGTTATACACATTTCTTTGGCAACTCCACCACCACCACAACCACCGTTATCAACCTCCGGTAATCCGCCATGGATCTTCTCCTCTTGGAGAAAACTCTCTTAGGCATTTTTGTTGCCATTATAGGCGCAATCTTCATCTCTAAGCTACGTGGCAAGCGTTTCAAGCTCCCGCCGGGACCTATCCCAGTACCCATTTTCGGCAACTGGCTCCAAGTCGGCGATGACCTCAACCACCGCAACTTAACTGATCTCGCCAAGAAGTTCGGAGAGATTTTCCTTCTCCGAATGGGCCAGCGCAACCTCGTTGTCGTATCATCCCCGGATCTCGCCAAGGAAGTCCTCCACACACAAGGCGTCGAGTTCGGATCCCGAACTCGAAATGTCGTGTTCGATATATTCACAGGGAAAGGACAAGACATGGTGTTTACAGTATACGGCGAACACTGGCGCAAGATGCGGAGGATCATGACTGTTCCATTCTTCACCAACAAAGTGGTCCAGCAATACAGGCATGGATGGGAGGCGGAAGCCGCGGCAGTGGTGGAAGATGTGAAGAAGAATCCGGCGTCAGCGACGGAAGGTATTGTGATCCGGAGACGGTTGCAATTGATGATGTACAACAATATGTTCAGGATTATGTTTGATAGAAGATTCGAAAGCGAGGATGATCCATTGTTCCTGAAGCTGAAGGCGTTGAATGGCGAGAGAAGTCGATTGGCACAGAGCTTCGAATACAACTATGGCGATTTCATTCCAATTTTGAGACCATTTTTGAAAGGCTACTTGAAGGTCTGCAAGGAAGTCAAAGAGAAGAGGTTGCAGCTTTTCAAGGATTACTTCGTTGATGAAAGAAAGTAAGTTTTTTCTGATCTAATTTAACTCCCTGTTAAATATACAATACGAACAAGATGCTTCACTTTCCATAAAGCTACAAAAGGTGGGATCTTACCTTTATGTGATCAAATTGGATTTAAGCTAAATCCATGGCGATTTTCCCTTTTGCCCCTTTTTCTTTTTCCTTCTAAATATAGACAAACCTTTTTCTTACTATAACAGAATCTAATGTATGGAAAGTAAATGAGTTTGATCAAATTGAAAAATTACAGGAAGATGGGAAGCACAAAAAGCATGGATAACAATCAGTTGAAATGTGCAATTGATCATATTCTTGAAGCTAAGGATAAAGGAGAGATCAATGAAGACAATGTTCTTTACATCGTTGAGAACATCAATGTTGCTGGTATCCTTTCTTATCTAAATTTTTTTCTAAGGTTTTATTATAGAAGAATTTTTATTAAAGGGTAATTTAACTATTTTTGCACATATTTATAACTAATTTTCAAATATCTAATTAAAGCAAGAAACAATCTAAAAAAAAGCTCAATATTCTGGTGTTTTTTTTTGTCATTATTTACGTTTCAAATCTTTGTACAAAGTAACAAATCAAAGCAAAATATACAAAGGTATTAAATTTAATTCCGTTAGATTCTATTCTAAATCAATTAAAAATATGAAAGTCTAGGGACCAAACTTGCTAATATATGAAAGTTCTATGGCCAAATTTGAAACCCAAAACTTTTAGGGACCATACCTGAAAAAGTACAAACGTCTAAGGATCAAATATGCCAATATGTGAAAGCCTTGTGGCCAAAGTCTAAAATCCAAAATATGTAGGGACCAAACATGTAAATATAGAAGAATGTTGTGGCCAAAGTTTGAAAGCTGAATAATACACTATTCATTTGCCGATTGTAATTAGTATATTAATGCAGAAAAATCACATTATTTTGGAAATTTTTTTAATAAAATCCTAAAAGTTTTTTTGAACAAAAAAGTTCCGATTATTTAACATTTTGCCAAATTAACGAAAAAATCTTTTTTTATATTTGAACAACAAATGACAGATTATGTGGTTTTTTCAAAATAATGAGACTTTTCTGTTAAAATTCTTTTTTTAGGACTTTTTTGAACTTTTTCCAAAAGTTTGAGACTTTTCTGTAGATTTCCATATATAATAATTCATTTCAAAACATTTTGCAAATACTCATTAACCTCGGTTTTTACAGCAATCGAAACAACCTTATGGTCAATTGAATGGGGAATCGCCGAACTCATAAACCACTCGACCATCCAATCGAAACTCCGCCACGAGCTCGACACAGTTCTCGGACCCGGAGTCCAAGTCACCGAACCCGACATCGCAAAACTCCCCTACCTCCAAGCCGTAATCAAAGAAACCCTCCGCCTCCGAATGGCCATCCCTCTCCTAGTCCCGCACATGAACCTCCACGACGCCAAACTTTCCGGCTACGACATTCCGGCGGAATCCAAGATTCTAGTGAACGCGTGGTGGCTCGCCAACAACCCCGCCCAATGGAAGTCGCCGGAGGAGTTTAGGCCCGAAAGATTCCTTGAAGAGGAAAGTAAAGTGGAGGCAAATGGAAATGACTTTAGGTATTTACCATTCGGAGTTGGTCGCCGGAGTTGTCCCGGAATTATACTCGCGTTACCGATTTTGGGGATAACGATTGGGCGGTTGGTGCAAAATTTTGAGCTGTTGCCGCCACCCGGGGAGTCGAAGGTGGATACGAGTGAGAAAGGCGGACAGTTTAGTTTGCATATCTTGAAGCACTCGATGGTTGTGGCTAAACCGCGATCGTTGTAAGGGTTTTTTTATTTATATTTTGTTGTTGTTGTTATGTAATGTTGTATGTGTTGGGGATATGGAATATGAAGATGGGAACAAATCATGCATTTTGTGAATTATGAATAATGTATTTTATGTTCTTTCTTGATTTATGATGTTGAATGTGGATTTATTAGCTTCTTTTGAACACATCATGTAAATTATACATTAGGCATTAACAAATTAATAAAAAGTTGGGGGTTTTTTCAAAACTAATGTTAAAAGAGATTAATTTAAATCAAAGACAAGTTCAAAGGAAAGTAAATGGTTGGCGTATGTTAGCGTATGTTAGGTATGAGTTTGTTTGACACATGATAGTACATAAAGTCCCACCAGCCATTGGAAAAGGTTTTAATTATAAAATCACCTAAAGGTAACAATTAGAGGTGGCCATAAGGGTAATGCAACGTCACTCATAAACGCAAAGAAGATGTCTCCGTGTCTTCATTAAAACGGTAAACAACATTCGGATGAGTCTGCTATAAGCGGGAATATCATTTTTTTTTTTTTGACAACTGATGATAATTGATGATGTTCTTAATGCAGAAGCCGGTTTTAAATCAATATGGATCGTTTTTTTTTAATGTATGTTATGATGTTATGTCAGTCATTTAGGTGATTTTTATGTACATATAGCAGGTTGTTATGTACATAGACGTATGTCTTACATAATAGTTACGTAATACTTGTAGGCCGAAACGACATGTGTTACCTTTTAGACACTTGCATTTTTTTGAGAAAAATAAACACCATTCATCTATCAAGGGTAGGTATACCAAACAACAAAAATGTGTTGTTGACAAACGACCACGAGTCAATTTATATATTAAATTCCACATTTATAAGGAATTAAAGCTAAGCATTTCAACATCAAATATTCAATAAAGCTTTCAAAAGATTGTAATGGCAAGTTCATTGCACCACAAATTTAGGGTTTTCAGATAAATGTCGTTTGAAAACACATTCAAAACGGAAATGTACTAATTAGTAGTAATTACACAAGCAAGAATGCAAAAAAAAACAAAAAAAGGAAAAGTTTAAGCTGATTTGAACATATTCGGGCAAACAAGATGAAACTTATTACATTATAAGGTAGAATAGGTAGACTAAAATTTTATGTACTGCATTATGTTTGTTTGTTAGTTTAAGAGGCTGTTTGACAGGATCTGAATTTTTAAGATCTGAATTTTTAAGATGTCTGAATTTCTAAGAACGTTTGAATTTTTAAGATCTTAATTTTTAACATGTTGTTTGGTTGTAACATCTGAATTGCTGTGCTGAATTATAAAATTACCGTTTTACCCTTCTGTATTCTTTTTTGCTGAATGTAAAGTTTCGGTTTATAAAATAACTACATCAACTTCTTGAACAATTATAAAAAATATATAAACACCTTACAAAATCAAAATTAAAACACAAATCCAAATGAAAAAGGTTCAAATTTCACATTTTACCAACAATTAATCAACAAATCAAGATTAAAATTAACGAATTCATTTGTTATTCATACATAATGAGCAACTTTTTATAAAATTGTTTTATCTAACACCATCTTTCAGCAACAAGAAAAAAAAATCAAAAACATCAGAAGGATTACAAATGTTCCATTTTGTTTACAACATCAGAACATTAGCTTTCATTGATCCTTCAAGCTGCAAGAAAATAACATCTATGATTAGCAACCATCTTTAATGTCAGATTACAAATGTTCCATTTGTTTACCGTGGATAATTGACTTTTTCAGATGATTTCTTTGTTTCCGTCCGACATTATTTGAATTAAACCAATGAATGGTGTCTTTAATAGATGATTCTCGTTGACAATAGGTGGTGCTAGAATGCACAACTGTTTCCACCATCAACCACTAACCAACCACCATAACAACACAACCACCATAGCCATTAATCTAAATCCAACATTACCCTCCTTCACTCTTTCCTAAACTACCGAACACCACCCACACAAACATCATTCCTACATTTTACCACCATCACCATAGCCTATACCGACAAAACCAAATCACCCAAGAAAAAAATACACACAAAAAAAATTGACCATTAACTTACTCCCTCACCTGTGATTCCCCTGTTCATCATCCTTTCCACTTCACGATGCCACCATTTTTAGACATGCAACCAAGAACCAAGGGAGACACAGAGGAGGAAGGCTGCAATCAGAATCGAAAAGGGTGTGTGTCAATCGAATTTTGAGATGGAACAAGAAGAGGTGTTCGGTTTCTTTTGTTGTTGGGATACATATGTGGACCGGGGGGTTCGCTGCCAGCGGAGATGGCAGCGCCGGGGGAGAAGGTGGCCAACTGGCGGTGGAGAGGATAGCGGAATCAGAGATGCAGTGGGAAGGAGCGTCGATGTCTGTGAAAGAAAGAGAATAGGGAAAGAAGTGAAATATTAGGGCAAACTAAAACTTTACTTGTAGAAGATGCCGAGTGCGAAACAGAAGGACCTAGATATGAAGGCGGCATAAACGAAGCAGTTGGAGGCGGCAGCGAATCCGGCGACGGCGGCGGCTTAGCAGATCCGACGGAGGCATACGACTGATGTCGAAGGGTTGCAAACGTGCGATTGGAGATGCAGGGGGAGGAGGGGTCAACATTTGTGAAAGAAAGAGAAGAGGGAAAGGGTTGACGTACCAGGGAAAAAAAGGAACACACGTTTTTTTTTTTAATTTAGACACATCCCAAGATCTGAAAAGTTAAGAGGCATTTTAAAAATTAAGAGCCATAAATTCTGTGACAATCGTCACTTTCTGGTCATTCAAGGAGTCAAAGAGTCCAACAAGTCAACACAAATCGGCAAACTCAAATAACCCTTGTATATTAGGGTTTACATTATGTTTACTATTATACAACACACCATCCTAATGCAAAGTATCATTTAGAGTTTTCACGTGTTTTGAAAATCTAAACCATAATCAGGGTAAGTGATGGAACTACTCAATAAAACATTAATACATACCTTGCAAGGGCATATAACACTCATAACGAGGCATAACGGGGTTTACAGACTTTGCATTTCGAAGTTGAACACTCACAAAGGTCACAAACAAAGTCTCTCTCACTTTATCTAAATCTCTCTCAAAATCTCTTCCAACTTTTTATAATCACTCGGGGCATCCCGACCATTAATTTAGTCAAAAACAACTCGAAACAGGAAAATAAACGGAAAAACAGCCCTAAAGGACCGAAACCTCTTAGGAACCGAACCTCCCTTAAGGAACCGAAGCCTCCTAGACCCGAAACCTCTTAGAACCGAACTCCCCTTATAGGACCGAACTCCCCTTATAGGATCGAACTCACCTTCGGTTCGGGTCAAGTCCTTTCGGTCCGAAACAAGTACTTTCGGTTCATTCTACTTTCGGTCCATTTCGCCTCCCATGTGCCTTCGGGTCCCTCCTGACCAAGTTCACGTGCAAGCCTTTAGGACCGAACCTACCTTCGGATCTCACTCTATAGGACCGAACCTACCTTCGGATCTCACTCTATAGGACCGAACCTTCAGTCTGGACTCGCAAGTTCGCTTCTTTTTCCCGGTTTTCGAGTAGTTTCGTTTTTTAAGCTCGTTTTTCATGATTTTAACCCAAACTTATATTTTGACATATAAGACCATATAAATTCACATTTTAATCACATTTTGGGGGAAATCTTAATCTAGGAATAATATCTATTGTGTAAGATATTGTGTTGGAGTGTTGACTTTTCATGGAGTATGGCACAAGCTACCTCCCATACCCACTCCATGACATCTTTATGTCACTATTCACATCATCCTTGTCTACTCATTGTACCCTTATTCTTCTTCAACAAGCTTCCTTAACCCTCACCCACACAAAGAGTCAATGCATCTCACATCTCCTGGATCTCTTTCACTTCCACCATAAGCTAACACCCTTTTCTCTCTCATTCTCTCTCCAAGAACTCAAAAATCTCTAGGAAGCTTTGAACTTCTCATCCACTCTTGGTAAGTAATTTCATCCTACACTTGAATGTCCTACACTCTTTCACTCAAATCATAGATTTCTCACACAAATATCGACATATTTGTGCCTAGGATCTTCGAATCTTCAAGCATCTCCCAAATGTTCTTGACTTGGAAACCTCTCTCCTCCCACATCCATCTCAGAAAATCACTCAAGGTGAGTTCATACCCCTACATTTTCATGTTTCTTCAGGTTTTAGGGGGGGGGGGGGGATACAAGTTTGAATACACACAAAACTTACTAAATTCAAACAACAACTTTCATCAGAAAGTTGAGTCCTATCACAGACTGTTTGACCATCTTAGACTTAATATCTTTCAAAACTGTTTAATATGCAAGTATTTCAGGTTTATGCCTTTCTAATGACTACTTGTCACATCTCCATACGATTTTTCTACAATTTTATGGTGATTTTCACAAAAC